TTTGGGATGAAAGGTGCTAAGTCAGCGGTTACTCCATTAGCTCCTCATTTAAAGCTCTCTAGTAAACAATCTTCCACTATAGCAGAATATAAGGCATACATGAAATGTGTTCCTTACGCTAGTGCAGTTGGCAATTTAATGTACACCATGGAATGTACGCGTCCAAATATTTCACATGTGGTTAGTGTTTCAGTAGATTCATCGCTAATTCGGAAAAAGAATATAAGGCATACATGAAATGTGTTCCTTACGCTAGTGCAGTTGGCAATTTAATGTACACCATGGAATGTACGTGTCCAAATATTTCACATGTGGTTAGTGTTTCAGTAGATTCATCGCTAATTCGGAAAAGGAACATTGGGAAATAGTGAAATGGGTTTTAAGGACTTAAAGGATACCATTGACATGTGTTTGTGGCTTTGGTGGAGATACATGTCAGATAAACAGCTTTGTTGATTCTGATTATGCCGGTGATCTAGATAGACGACGATCTACGACTGGTTATGTATTTAAAATATATGGTGCTTCAGTTAGTTGGTGATCGATGTTACAAGCTACAGTGGCACTATCTAGTACAGAGGACAGGTACGTGGCCGTAACAGAAGTAGTGAAGAAAGCATTGTGGTTATGGGGTCTTTTAGATGATTTGGGGATCAAGCAATAATATGTGGATCTGAGTTGTGATAGCCAAAGTGGGATTCTATTGGCTAAGAATCGGGTTCAGCATGCACTTACAAAGCATATTGATTTTAGATATCATTTTGTATGGAATGTCGTAGACGAAGGTCATATTTCTCTTACAAAGGTACACACTGAAGAGAATCCTATAGACATACCAAAGTTATGTCAGGTAGCAAGTTTCAACATTGCTTGAATTTACTAAACATTATTCCATATTGATCCAAAATTTGAAATTTCAAATTATGAACGAGATGGAGAATTATGAAAAAATTCAGCAAAAGCTAAATATGAAAATAAGAAAATAAAAATATAAAATACTCCAATGAGTAATAATAGGAAGGAAAGTAAAGTTAGAGACATATATTTACGTGAAATTTTGTTCGATGTAGTTTAATATATAAACTAATCTTATGTTTATTAATAACATCAACAGCCATAGATATACAAAGTGTGCTTCATTTAATAATATGTTATCTTTCTTTTTTAGAAATTTATATTTCTTCATATAATTATTGTTCATGCTACGTTATTTTTTTTCTAACTTTTTCTAATAATGATGTGAAATACCACTCTCATTAAAGTTGAACAAGAAAATAACGTAGCATGAACAATAGAAATTTCAAAAGAAGTGAGATTAATAAATTATAAGAAGAAACTCATTTTGTTACACTGTATATTTATTGTTGTTATTATTAACAAACATAGAATTAGTTTATATAATAAATTATATATTATAAATTGAGAGAACAAAATTACACCTAAATATAAATCACCAACTTTATTTTCCTTCATATTATTACTCATTGGAATAATTTACATTTCTATTTTCTTATTTCTACATTTACCTTTTGCAAAATATTTTCACAATTCTCCACCTTGTTAAATTTCAAATTTTAGATCAATATGGAATAATGTTTAGCAAGGTTAAACACTGTTGGAACTTACTACATAACACAACTTAGATCATATTTCTCTTAGGAAGGTACTGTTCCGTACCAGAGTGAGTTAATAATATTACAAAACTAAAATAAAGATGAGAAACCTTAATGTTTTCTGTTTGTATATTTCTTTCTATATTGATGTTATAATGAATAGAAAGTAATCTTTACATAGTTATTGTTATTCTATTTATAGGTTCAAAAAAATTTCATTCTCTTCCTTAAAATTCCTACACAACTAACACCATTTATTTAGTAATAAATTCTTATGGTGTGTTCATCATTTCCATAACAAATGTGACCTTACATTCTCGCAATCTTCCACTTAAAGTCACTTTTGTGAACTTTCCACCATGTCATAGGAGGATGGCACCATGTAAATTTGTTTGCATAGATTGGTTTTGTCATAACATCTGTTAGGTTATCTTTGGTGTGAATTTTTTGCATATCAACACTCCCTTGCTCTACCATTTCCCGAACAAAATGATATCGAATACCTATGTTTTTTATCTTCAAATGAAAGGCAAAATTTCTTGCAATATGCTAGATCCTCTGACTGTCACAATACACAAAAATTTGTTGACATTGCTTGAGTTCTTCCACAGGCCTTATGTATGTCATGATATGTACAAGTTCAGACATTCCACAAGCAGGCAGTTAATCAATTTATAGTGAAACCTAGTAAAGAGTATTGGGATGTTGTTAAGAGAATCCTAAAATATATAAAAGGAACCTCCAATGTTGCATTATGTTTCAAAAGATTGAAATTTATTGTCAAGGGTTTTGTTGATTCAAATTTTGCAGGTGATCTTGATAAAAAAAAGTTCTAATATTGGGTTTGTGTTCACACTTGCAAGAGGAGCAGTAAGCTTGTTGTCCAAGAATTGAAGGCACAATTGGCTAGGGAGTTTGATATGAAGGACTTGGGGCCGGCAAACAAGAATTTAGGATGCAAATTCACCGAGATAGAAAAGATAGAAAGATTTGACTTTCTCAAAGAAATTATCTACAAAAAGTCTTGCAACACTTCAACATGCAAGACTGTAAGTCAATATCTACTACCCCACTTCCTATCAACTATAAATTACCCTCAAGTATGAATCCTAGCAATGAAGTGGAAAGGATGGAAATGTCTCGAGTACCTTATGCATCAGCGGTGAGAAGCCTTGTGTATGCATGATATGCACAAGGTATTGCACAAGCAATGAGAGCATAGTCGATTTATGGCAGATCTTGGTAAAGAGCATTGGGATGTTGTTAAGAGAATCCTAAGATATATAAAAGGAACCTCAAATGTTGCATTATGTTTCAGAGGATCGAAATTTATTGTCAAGGGTTTTGTTGATTCAGATTTTGCAGGTGATCTTGATAAATGAAGATCTACTACGGGTTATGTGTTAACACTTGCTGAATGAGTATAAGTTGGTTGACCAATTTACAAACGATCGTAGCTCTATCAACTAGAGAAGTTGAGTATATTGCAGCTATGCAAGCTTGCAAATAAGCTATTTGGATACAAAGGCTAATGGAAGAACTCGGGCACAGTCAACAACAAATTATTGAATATTATGACAGTAAGAGTGTCTTGCATATTGCAAGGAATACAGCCTTTGATTCTAGAACAAAACACAGGTGTTCAATATCATTTTGTTTGATAAATAGTAAAGCAAGGAAGTGTTGATGTGCAGAAAATTCACATTAAAGATAACCTAACAAATGTTATGACAAAGTCAATCTACGCATACAAATTAACAAGAAGTCAATCCTCCTATAGCATGGTGGAAAGTTCACAAAAGTGACTTTAAGAGGGAGCTTGTGAGAATGTAAGTCACATTTGTGAGGAAATGGTCAATGCACCATAAAAATTTATTAATAAATAAATGGTATTAGTTTTTAACGTAGGAATTCTAAGAGAATGAAAATTCTTATGAACCTATAAATAGAATAATAATAGTTATATAAAAGTTATTTTGTATTGATTATTCAGAGACATTTGCTCTGGTTGCGAAGATGAATACAGTGAGAATAATTTTGTCACTTGCTGCCAATTATGGTTGGGATTTACAACAATTTGATGTGAAGAATGCCTTCTTATATGGGGAACTCGAAGAGGAGATTTATATGCGGGTACCACCGGGGTATGAAAAAAATGTGCCTGACAATACAGTTTGCAGGTTGAAAAAAGCGTTATATAGACTAAAATAATCACCTCGAGCATGGTTTGAAAGATTCGCTAAGGTTATGACATCTTTAGAGTACAAGCAAAATCAAGGGGATCACACCTTGTTCATCAAACACTCACCACAAGGGGGAGGAACAGTTTTGTTAGTATATGTAGATGACATTATAATGACAGGAGATGATGGGTAGGAGTAACAAATCTTGAGTCAGTGTTTGGCTAAGGAGTTTAATATAAAAACTCTTGGAAAGCTTAAGTACATTTTAGGAATCGAGGTGGCACATTCTCGAAAAGGTATTTTTATGTCTCAACAAAAATATATTACACTTTTGGAGAGAGGTTGTCCTTTCATCCGCCTATCTCATAAATAGGATGCCTTCTAGTATCCTCAACTTTGACACACCTTATTCCACTCTCCAAACCTTTTTCCCAACTAGCAAAATTATCAACTCAATTTCATTTAAAATATTTGGATGTTCATCCTTTGTTCACAATCTCAACCCTAGTCGTAGCAAACTTGACCAAAAAATCCATCAAATGTATTTTTGTTGGCTACTCACCTCACCAAAAAAGTTACAAGTATTACTCTCCCAAAAATAAATTGATATGACCTTTAAAAATTAACCGCATTACTCTAAAGTTGGATTTTAGGGGGGAGAACACCTTAATCCTTAACAAAACAGCAGAATTCCAATTTTTTTGATTTTGGAATGATCCAAACGGCCATTGAAATTGCACCAACAAAACCGGTAAATTATGCACCACAAGAACCAGTAAATTCCACACTAACAAAACCAGATATAATCCCACACCAGCCAAATCACAAAATTTTACACCGGCCAAACCAAAAAATCCCACAAAACCATCTCAAATTGTCCTTTAAATTGCACATGAAGAAAGTATTGCACAAGAAGCTGATCAGAAAGTTTAGCTACATTATGGAGTGGTAGTAATAAACTAATAATGGTAGCAATATATTTTACTCAAGATAGTAGTCATCTAGTAAGCATAACCACTATCCTGTGCTACTGTACAGCCCAACAGGTCATAGCATATCAAACAATAATTTGAAATTATAATAGATTTTCAAAGACAGTATCAATAAGAACAGTAAAATGGAGAAGAAAAACATGAAATGGAAAATACAAGAAAAAGCAAAGGGGCATTAGCATTTAAAGAATGAGAAAGGAAGTTTCTCACACAGAAGCCAGTTTTGACCATGAAAAATTCCATAGAAGCTCCAACCAAAGCCGACGCAACCCCAATCTTCAAGTACCAATCAAGAAACTTCATTTTCAACTGGATGAAATTGAACCAATGGTTATTAAAAAAGATTTGAATCATAACAATATAGCTCAATCTGGACGTTTAAATCAAAGTTCGAATACCTAATTGAAAAATCCAATTTTATTTCTAACAGAACTGCAGATAGCTTAAAGAGAAATAGTGAATACCAATACGAAAACTGTGGAAGAAAGCCATTACTGGATCTAAAGAGAAAGGGAAAAAGCTTATTTTTGAAACTCATTCAAATCGATTTTATTATGGAAATATTTGCACAAACTTGGTTACAAAACAATCCAACACGCGTATCAGAGTCGCAGCAATAAGAGAAATTGTAAGGAAAATAAAATGTTGAGAGAGAAGTTGAGAATAGTTACCAAACAATGGCAATTCACTGATCGGAGCTGTTGTTAGGTTCTCGTCGAAGTCCCAACATGTATAACTTCCTTTTTTTTTTTTTTTTAATGGATAAGTTCTTTTCAGAAATTAAATTTTCACCCTCCATATTATACATAGCACCTTTCAAATAATATGAAAAAATCAAATTGCTCGGACTCAATTTATTTATCATAGATTCTAAATTCACGTTGTCAATCGGATTTTTCAAATTTTTGGACGATACCGGAAATTTTGTGAACAAGTGAGAATTTACGGTAGATTAGTGAAATTTTCGGTATTTTGTACCAGAAATTTCAAAGTATTCGTATTTTCATTTATCATTTATATCAGAAATTTTGAAATTTCCGATGCATCACAGAATACCGGAAACTTTAAAATTTCCGATAGTTCAATTTTTTTTTTAAAAATACCGGAAATTTAAAAATTTTCTTGTAGTTTATATTTTCCTGATATTTCCTTATTTTGTAGTGAGGACTAGAGGCAAAGAAGGTTCTATTGCAGGACGGACCACTGATAGAGCTGATGCTGAAGCCCGTGCTGACGAGGCACGGACTTCAGAGCTACTAGCTGGACGTCGTTTCCTGACCGGTTCTCACCGGAAACGGATGGCTGAGCAGAATGTACAATTTCGGGAATCTCACTATCAGAATTTTAGAGTATCCACTGTTGAGGAGGTACATGCTCCTACATGAGGAGGTACAAGCTCATGTTCTTATTATGGAGCTGGTAGCTGATGAGCATATTGTGGAGCCTCTAGTGTATGAGACTGAGCAGGAAGTTGTTGAGCGAGTTGATGAGGTGTCCCCCACTGATATAGACAACACGACTCGTGCGTCTACAGAGCCATCAATACACACTGATGGAGGTTTCTTTGGAGGACCTTCAGACAGGTCCTTGCTGAAAGGATTTGCGGACCGTGTCGCTTATAAAATATGGCATGGCGGAGTATATATATTTTTTTGTTTAATTGCATAATTTTTATTTTTGCTTACGAGATTTGATGTATAATAATTTGTTTTTGCTTTTTACATGAGCGTCTGGTGTTGAAGGTCGCTTCTCATGGTTCGAAGTTGAAAATTTTCCCTGAGAGTCCTATGTATGAGGAGGTGAGGAGGACCGTTAGCGAGTTTTATCTCCTGGAGTTTACTGATTGCTCCTTGATCATGTTGGACGTCTCCTTTTTATCAGCTTTTATTGAGAGGTGGCACCCGGAGACATCATTCTTTCACCTTCCATTTGGGGAGATGATGGTGACTTTAGATGATGTGGACGCCATCTTTCACATTCCGATTGCTTGTATATTTTTTACACCAGTTTATAAGGATCAGGCGACAGCGGTGCGCATGGTTATGGATGATTCGGAGGTTTCTGAGTTGGAGATGCTAGAGGAGTTTGGTGAGACTCGAGGATTTCACCTTTGGATGTCTTGGTTGAGGATGATGTATAAAGAGCTTGTAGAGGCACAGAGGTACGAGGTTGCCGCTAGGGCGTACATGCTACATCTGGTGGCATGTACTTTCTTTGCAGACAAGTCTGGAGTTTATATTGATGTTCGGTACTTGTCTCTCTTTAGCGCACTTGACACTCGATGTTGGGCTTAGGGAGTGGTGGCCTTGACCATGTTGTACACGACACTTGACGTTGCTTCTCGTCCTAGGACCAGGAAGCTTGCTGATTACCTCGGCTTGTTCCAGGTATAGTATAATTTATTTGATGGTTTTTATTAATTATTTATGTGTATTTATTTTTTGGTTTTTATTTATGCAGTGTTGGATATACAAGTATTTCTCTCATATTTGTGAGCGGAAGATCCAGCGTGTCACGCATTTGAGCCATGTGCGAGGAGACAGAAGGCCAAGCAAGCCATTCCAGGAGGTTTAATGGAGTATTGGAGAAGGCTTAACGCTCTGACCTTGGATGATGTCGTATGGATACCATATACATCTTATCACCCTCATCATCCATGTGAGGTATCTACTTTATATTCAGGGCATATTAGATGGGAGAGTCATGTGGCTAGACACTTTCCTGAGAGGTGTCTACACTAATATGGTTATGTACAGGGCATCCCTCGTCCAGTTCCAAAGTCTCTAGCCGGTGTCATTGATAGATGGTTTCAGAATCACATCATGAGATAATGGATATAGCCGTCGATGTTCAGTAGCCTGGGCAGTGTGAGGATGGATACCTGGAGTGGTTTCACAGTGTGTCACACCCTCGGGTCATACCACCGGCTGCATCATCTGATGTTTCGGGTCCTTCTGGTGCTAGCTCATCTACCGAGCCACCACCACCACCTCCATCACCACCAGGAGATCAGGACAACCGCCTCCAGTCTATTGAAATTCATGATGATAGTCTCATGGGTTTGGTAAACCCAGATAGTGAGATTTATATATATTTAGCTAGGTTAACCGACGTAGCCCATGGAGAGCCTATGTAGATCTATTTTTATTTTGGTTGTATAATATGTATATTTTGTGACAAATAAACTTCTTATTTATTGCATAATATTTTGGTAAAAACATAGAACGGTACAACAAATATAAAATTGTACAATAAACATAACCCTAAAACAACTAAACAAGAAAACCTAGGCACTACCAGATGATTCTGGACGTTTCAGACATTTTATTATATCGTTGACGGATCTTCAGATCTGCGCATCCAACTCGATCGGACCTTTAGTTATCCTACGGCGAAATGATTTATACATGGCCTTCATATCTTCATCATTCTTTAACTCGATTAGGTTGTATTTCACCCTTCCATTTGTATCAATCCAATCCTCCTGAAAATTTACCTTTGTCACCCTTCTGTTATTGAAATCATGCAACAAATTATTCAACGTTTCTTTCAAGGTGGCAAAGGATTTTGAGCCATCTGGAAGCTTGAACTCAACCAGAGGGTTGTTGTCGTTGTACCAAAAATTTACGGTACCAGAAATTTCATATGGGTGTACCAGAAATTTGGGTGTTACCGAAAATTTCAATCCTTCTACCGGAAATTTCGTCCATAAATTATGTTCAACGCATCCAAGGATAAAATTGGGGGGTGCCCTGTATAATTTTGGGGTGCCATGTAAATTTCTTGTTCTTTTGCTTTTGGGTTGCCTCGGATCTAGAACCTGATATGTGTGAGTGTCTGCCCGTGGATCAATGTTATTCGCACATCCTTTCTTTTACTTTGGTGTATTTATTGGATTATACAACTTTTAATAACCACTTATTTTCGGAAATGAAAGATGGTTTTGATGTTACTGATGGTTAAGGAGGTCATTGGAAAGTATTATAGATGAAAAAAGTATTGAGAAATCTTTCTCTCAATAAGAAATAATATTTTAGATCACCTCTTGTATCAAGCGATTAAAATAGATGATTTTCCTTATGTTTTGTCTATTCTCTTCAATGGGAAAGAATTATGAAATTCTTTAAAAGTTAAAGGTAACAAACACACTCTATAGAGAATAAACTTAGAAAACTTTGGTTAATTTTCTAATAAGTGTTTATTTATTTACTTAACTCATTTAGTTTGTTTTGGCTAATCCTCCTATCCTTGAGAAAATACGCATTGTTTAAGAAAAATAAGGTGCAAACTAGTAAAAAAAGAGATGCAACAAGCAATTCAAAGCCCAAATTCATTCAAGATCCAAGCGAACCAATAAAGCATAGAAGGAGCAGTTTGATCGATTAAATCATTGAGGTTAATTGATTAAAGATTAAATCTCACTCCAAGCACATCGCCTTAAAGATGGTATCAAATGATTAGGAGTTCCTATCTTCATCAAATCATCATCGAGTTAATATTTGATCAAAATCAAAGAAATATACCAATTTCGATGCATATTTAATCTATTAAATATATATGTTATGAAAAATGATACCTTTAAAACAAAGTATAAATTGTTTATTTTCTGATCAAGAAACAATCGAGAGTAGAAAAGATGGAAAAACAAGAAGAACTCAAGGAATTGATTATTAATTGTTATTCTTTATTTTATCTTCAAACAAGATTGCAAGTACACAAGAATAACAAATAAACCTCTCACCCTAAATTAGGATTTGATGTATGCAATAATGAGAGACTAGTGTGTTATTTATAATAAACCTAACATACTAAACTAATAGGTTTTTTCATAAATACTCGTTACAATCTAACTTAGGGTACAAGCTAACTTAAACAATTGTGAAATTCAGGTACATTAGACTTCAGATGTCCTATGACATGTTGAGACATCTGAATGTGACTTAAACAACACAAGCAAGGTATAAATATATAAAATAGTATTGGAAAGCATAACAACACACAGAATTGTTAACCCAATTTGGTGCAAACCAACACCTACTCTTGGGGCTATCAAGTCAGAAAGGAAATCCACTAGACAATATTAATTCAAAGTTAAACTAATCTCAAGTTTACAACTTATCACTTAATCACTACCCTGTGCAACTTCTACCTAGGTCCTCCCTAGATATGAGAAATCCCATCTCACCTCCAATCATCGCAATGATGTCTAACAGTTCCAGTTACTGTATTGATGGTCTTTCACCTAAATGAAGACCACACTTCAAATACTAAAAACACCTTAATCAAGACACCCCTTGATTAAGAACAACATACTTGATCTTGCTTCACATGTTTGATCAAGAACAATACTTAGAGTTTCTTAACAGCTTTCTCCAAGAACAATATTATATCTTGCTTAAAAGCTTTGAGGAGAACAATAACAGAGATTACAACTCTCTAACACAGTCCAACTCACAACCAGAGTGGATCACACAAACCAACTCTACTAGAGAGTGGCATAATGACAAAGCCCAAATGATTCTACATCTTGGACTCATACCAACTTTAGGTTTATAACCTTATATTTATAAACCTTTTCCCAACTAGATTTGGTCTTCAAAAACGCAACAGTGAGGTTGCACAAAGTCTGCAAAACCTTCTCTAAGAAAATAGGTCTTCAATCATTAGTTTCCTAAAATGTCTCCATATTTAGAAACTTTGTATATCTTCAAAAACCAACATAGAATCTCTGATTTGTCAATCTTGGATGCCACATAAGCTAACTAAATATTCCCTGAGTATTCAGTAACTACCATATCAGCTGAAACACAATTGTTAGCTGTTGCAGAAGCGATGTCCTATCCTCCTGGTTGGGATATCTTATTCGACATGTTGAAAATTGCAATTTGGAACATCTTGTTCTACCTGTTGTTGCCAGGTTAGTTTAACCAAATGTATTCCAATCATAATTTCAGAAAAATAACAATCTTCCCTTTGGCACATTTTGGCTAAAACAACCAAATAACCCTTGCACACAAAAAACAACATAAAATATGTTTGAAAATAAATTAAACACATACGTCAGAGGTACAACAGCGGAAAAACACATTAGCAAGGTTAGCAGCACAAAAATCAGAGACACAACTGCAACAACAAATAAAGAACCTAAGTTCTCAAGGCCATGATGTCAAGACATCATGTCTGACATCTCTTCAGAGCACCTTCAGTCCAGCATAGAAGGGACTCCCCCTCAACACTTGCTAACACAATAGAGAATCAGAAATTATCCCCCCTAATAGCAGCCAACAATAATAGTGTTTAGTGCATACACACACACACACTTCTCCCCCTTTTTAGCCATAATATGACAAAGGAAGCAACTAACCAAAAACAA